AACAAGCTGCTCTTTACCACATAACTGACTTGGCAGATGTTTACACCCGATTCCCCTCCCAGTACAACCTACAAGGGTTTTACAGTATTCACTGCCCTTCACTGGCTCCACATTTTGTCATGTTACAGCCTTGTTTGAAAATGCAAATTCATAAAATGCAAATTCATAAAATAAATAAATGTAACTTTAAAAGATGAACACTTTTGTTAGTCTGTGAAGGTTGTCAGTCATCCAGGTCATTGTAGTCTAAGGAGCTCGGAAAGAAAAGCGTCTGGATTTCTTTGAAGGTGTTTCATCTGAGAAGTTTCTTCAGTTCTAAGAGGAGGAGGTGGAGAGTCCCAGATTTTATTACACCAGTTGCTCTTAGAACTGAAGAAGCTTCTCAGATGAGAGGTGAAACACCTTCAAGAAACTTAAAGAAGTCCAGAAGCTTTTCTCTCCAAGCTCCTTAGACTGCTCATCTTTAGTTTCTACAACTTGGAGTCCACCTGTAGTAAATTCAGTTGACTGGGCACATGTTGTAAAGTAGCACACTTGTCTATATAAGACCCTATAGTTGACAGTGAATGTCAGGGCACAAGTTCTGAAGTCCAAAGAGGGGTCTGCAGACCTCAGAGACAGGACTGTATCGAGGCACAGGGGAAAGACTACAGAACAATCCCTGCAGCACCGATGTTCCTAATGAGCACAGTGGCCTCCAGATGGCTCTGAAGCTCAGACCTGCGCTTATCGTCCAAAACGACAATAACCCTAAGCCCACAGCTGAGATAACAAAGGACTGGCTTCAGTCTGTATATGTCCTTAAGTGGTTCAGCCAGAGCCAAGATACAAATCCAACTAGACATCTTTTGAGAGCTCTGAAACTCCTAGCAGCAGCCAGGACTAGCCCTCAGCCTCCTAACAGTTTCATCGCCTTGTTTTAAAGTTATTGCATTCACTGAATTTTCAGAAAACCTGACCCCTGACCTTGAAGTCAAGGTCACCAGGATTCAAACGAGCCTCTGATTTGTTTTTATTACATGTAACTCTGGTATCAATTTGAAAATCCTACATCGCATTGTTCTCGAGACATTGCATTGACAGTGTGACGTGCACTGAGCTTGGGTCCGATTGGTCTGTTTCCTCCAGGTTCTTCTGCTGGTGCTCTGACTTAGAGGGGTAGAATGAGGCCAAATTTGAGGCAATCTGAGGTCAGATTAAGCCGCTGACTCAGTCAAACGTCCCCAAAAACTCACAGCATGTTCCCGTCTGCATGTCTCAGCACGTCTGGGGCACGGGCCTGACTTCTGAGCACGGGCCCAACAACATGCCATGTTTGACTGATGTGGACAGGCTCACTTTGACTTGGTATTCTACAAAAAGCATGTTGTAGCATTATTTGACATGAGCCCTCCTCCACAGTATGGCTGCCTGCCTACCCTAGACAGTCAGGAACAGACTTTGTTCAATGATCTTGTGTGTGAGGTTTTCAAATATCTTACTGTTGACCTGCAGGAGACCTCTGCTGGGAGGCTTGACGCTGCAAAGCCAATCGCTGCTCTTCTTTTTTGGTGATGAAATGGAGTTTCCTCTGAAGCTGGGTCGCCTCCTCTTTCTGTTTCGACAGCTTCTGCTCTAGAATCTCACACCGTCTCTGAAAGTACGCAGAAGGTTTTTCTTTTACACG